ACCGCCTCGGAAGCCCAAGGAGGGGTCGCTATGAGTCGGATCTGACTTGACAGCAGTGAGCTTTTTTTTTTTTTTAATTTTATAATGCATAATATTTAAGAGCATGGGCTCTGGAATAAGAAACCTGCATCAAGTCCTCTAATTTTCATCTCTAACATTTAATTAGCCACCAGTCTTTAGTGGTGGTGGTGGTAGCAGTGGTGGTGGTTGTTATTAAGTGCTATCCAGCCGTGTTTGACTCATAGCGACTCCCACAAACAGAACGAAACACTGCCTGGTCCTGTGCCAAACTCCCAGTCACTGTGCCCACTGAGATGGCTCTACCCATCTCATTAAGGGTCTTCCCTTTTTTGCTGACCCTCTACCAATCATACCAAATTTATGTGATCTTTCTGTGCCTCATCTGTAAAACTTCCCACCAGTAAAACTAAAAGATCCCAGGACTGACTTTATAGGGTTCTGGTGAGGATTAAACAGGTAACATATGTGAAGTACTTTGCCCAGGCCCTGGTATTTGAGAACTCAAAAATTTGGCTATTATCATCATCATCACTGCCTACTGTATCTCTGACTTTTCCACAAAAGTGCCCCAAGGAAGTTTCCTCTTTACTGACACCAAAATCCTAACTGTACATATTCTTTTGAACACAAAATATACCAATTAGGAACCCTACTGAAGAAAATTCCTTTTGCCTTTCTTTATTGGAGATAAAAGTCTTACCCCAAATTGGTTTCTAAATCCCGCCAATGCCCAGTACCTATTTTGAGAGTTTTGAATTAAAAAACACAAATTGTCTTCTGTCTTCCTACACTTTTCCATTCTTTACAACAAAATGCGTTTGGTTGCCTACACTGTGCAAAGAGGAAACACAACTGACTCAGAAGGAAAATTAATCCCCCTGCGTCCCACTGGGTCCCGTTTGGTGTTCAGACACAAAGGGTACTAACTCTCTGTCTCAGTTATAGTCACAGTGTTGTTGTTGTTGTTGTTGTTTGCCGTCGAGTCAGCCCCGACTCATAGCGACCCCTCCTTGGGTTTCTGAGGCAGTATCACTACGGAAGTAGGATTGCCCAACCTTCCTTCCGAGGAGTGGCTGGTGGGTTTGAACCGCCAGCCTTCTGGTTAGCAGTCAAGTGCCTTAGCCACTATGCTACCAGAGAACAAGTTAATTCCAAGATTTAGTGTGCATGTGTGTTTTAGCTCTACTAGAATCTGAAATGGCCCCGGAAACCCAAGGAGGGGTCGCTAGGAGCCTGAACTGACTCCAGGGCAGCGAGAGATTCTGAAATCAACACAACCATAAAATGTTCTTTTCCCTTTATGTACTCATGCCTCAACTAAAGTATTTCTCCCATTCCTACATTCCTTAAAATGCTGTTTATAAGGGTGGTACACTAGCAGGACAGTGTTACTAGTTCATTAAGTTAAATAAATGGTCTTGAGCTATTTTATTTTCTAAACCTTAACAATTTATAAAACCAACTCCTCTGGTCTAAATTCTTTCACCAATTCTTCAAGTTCTATCATGCTCACTGGACAACTGATACAATACTCACATACATTCATTTTAATCATGGAATCTAAGTAAAACTCTGTATCACTTCATTTTATTGTAAATATCAGGATTCTCTTTGAAGGTGTTATTACTGTCTGGGTTCTTAGAGCACTCTGAAATTTCAGTTACAGAATATATCACTTAATTTGAAAGTAAATCAATACTAAAAACAAATTATTTGGTCATAATCTTTTTACAAAAGATTTAACAGCCACAAATTTTATTTCACTAGGCCTCAAATATGTTAAATTACATTTCACTGACATAAGATCAAAACAAAACTAAACCCATTGACATCAGGTCAATTCCAACTCGCAGTGCCCAAGGCAACTGACTGCTAACCAGAAGGCTGGCAGTTCAAACCCACCAGCCACTCCTTGGAAGGAAGACGGCAACCTACTTCCATAATGATACCACCTCGGAAACCCAAGGAAGGGTTGCTATGAGTCTCAGCCCACTCCACAGCAATGTTTCTCTTAATGACCCTTACAGAACAAAGTAGAAGCGCCCTGAAGGGTTTCCAAGCTGCAATCTTTATGGAACGGCCCCAGTGGTGCAGTGGTTAAAACACTGGGCTGCTAACTGGCAGGTCGGTGGATAGGAACCAACAAGCTGCTGTTGCACTGCTGAGAAAGATGTGGCGGTCTGCTTCCATAAAGATTACAGCCTTGGAAACTCTCTGGGGCAGTTCTATTCTGCCCTATGGGTCTCTATGAGTCAGAATCTATTGACAGCAGTGGATTTGAATTTTTGGTTTAATTATACAAAAGCAGACTGCCACATCTTTCTCCCACGGAATGAGTGGTGGGTTCAAACTGCAGATCTTTCAGTTGGCATCTGAGCGCTTTATCCACTGTGCCATCAGGGCTCCTTATAAGAGCAAATCAAAAATCCAAAACCAAACCCATGGCCATGGAGTCGATTCCGACTCACAGCGCCCCTAGAGGACAGAGTGGAACTGCCCCAGAGGGTTTCCAAGGCTGTCAATCTTTACAGAAGCAAAGACCAAACCAAACCCACGGCCGCGGAGTCAGTTCTGACCCACAGCGCCCCTAGAGGACAGAGTGGAACTGCACCAGAGGGCTTAAAAGGCTGTCAGTCTTCAGGAAGCAGACTGCTTCATCTTTCTCCCCCAGAGCAGCTGGTGGGTTCACTGGTGGCTTGGAACCGCCAACCTTTTGCTTAGCATTCAAGTGCTTTAACCACTATGCCACCAGAGCTCCTTTATAAGATCAAAAGAACCTCATAAATACCATACTGCATTTTACCAGAGTGAGGTTACAAAAAGCCAAACCAAAAAAAAAAAAAAAAAATCCCTCTGGAAAACAAAAGTTGTTTTAAATAATTTTAAAACTCTCTTGACATTTAACTCATTTAAAAAAAAGAAAATCATCATATAAACAAAACTATTAAAGGCTGCTGAAAAACATGCACAAGGACTGTAAATCAAAAATTCTTTTTTTTCCAAAGCACAATGTTACTTTTTGGCTATCATAAATGACTAAGAAGTATTTATATACCATACATTCAGCTATGTTTAAATTCTTCTCAAATTATTCTATGCGTAATTCTTCTCCAATTACTAGCAGCCTAAATTAAAACTTGATCATGAGATATAAAATGTGCTTAAATGCACTTCCTGCCATTCTACAATATTACAGCTTTTTAATAAAATACAAAATTAAAAGTCATACAAATATGTATGTTTATTAGCATGAATTGTTAATGCACGAAAACAGAATTAGCTTCTCTCAGAGAGATTAACAATAATTTTAAAATCAACAGAACTTGGTCAAACAATGCCAGATTGGTGAAATGATAGTATCACGTCTAATCTCACGGATTGGGCATTTTACGAATATGCATAACATTACACAATGCACAGGGATGGGGAGATGGTTTAAGGCTTGTGAAAAATAATGTATGGGAAGTTAAGCGCAATTTTAAAAATACATGTCATTACAGTAGTACTTTAATGAGAAATCTCATTAGGCACGAGGAGCCGGCATTATCTCCAGACACTGATCTCTCAAATGTCACCAGACCATCTATTCTGCTAAAAAGTACTTTCAAATACATGCGGCACCCAGATATCAAGTTTTCAAATCCCTACCCTTTGCAGATATCGCTGTACTGCTTGGCCGCAGCCTAAACGCACTGAAATACACATTCCAAATTAATGAGCCTTACTATCTTCTTCCTGGGGTCCATTTTAAATGATTAAAAAAATAATAATAATAACTCAGTAAATCTTAAAAAAAGAAAAAGAAAAGAATATCCACTTCCTTTCCTATATTCTAAATACTAGAAATACGGCTTTTTCTCCCCATCTAAGGCAATGTAGTTCAGCTCTATGAATGGTTTCCTCTTTTTTTTTTTTTTTAAATGCTCAATGCCCATACCCTCCTACCTAATTTGAAAACAAAACAAAATTTAAACAGTAATTATTGTAAAGGGAAAAAAAAGCACCTGACCAAACAGTGATGCTATTTATTTGTTTCAAGTAACAATAAGCTCTGGCATTAGGTTCCCATGATTTCCTATAACCTTCAAGGCAACAGAGACAACATCCCTTTTTGCAAGAGGAAAGTAAAGCGTTAATCAAGTGTATTTTCTCCTTAACCTAAGAATTGCCTTCTCTTTTGTCAATATTACAAGACATTTGTCTACCGATGACAAAGGGGAAAAGAAACAGTTCACTTGCCTGTTTCAAAACTAAACCGAGAACATGACCAGTCATAGGTTTAATTATTTCTAGGGAAGAATGTTTAAAGCAAAAAGACTGTTTAAAGTTCACTGCCAGCTGCTAAATGTTAAGGGAGCAGCCTGAACAGCAGACCCCCTATTTGTCACTTGCCTTTTTCCCACCACCCACCCTGCACCAAACCCCCATTGTTCTATGTAAAAACTCACAGCTAATGACATACGAGGAGCCAGTCCTACATGTATGTGGCATATGATGAGGGTGAAGAACTCTGCACCCACCACATTTACTTCCCGCTTTTTCTTGCCCCCCAATAATATGCACATTTGCTAATAAACCGATTGCAAACTGGTGGAGGGAGGGCGGGGGGACCACAGCTTCCCTTCCAGAGCGATGTATGTTACTCCAGAGGCGGGGGGTGGAAACCCCAGGAGGTTATCATAATAAACCTACCCTGTCAAAAAAAAATAATCATTTACACTGACGTTTCATAACGAATATTTAAAAAAATAAAAAATAAAAATCCGGTACAGAAGCCCTTGGAAAGTATCGCCCACGGGCGATGGGCTGCTTTTCCCGATCAGCCACCGAGTGGCACGCAGGGTCGCCCGCGGTCGCCACTTCCTCCCGACCTGGCCCGCGGAGCCGACGCGGGGTCGAGGAAGTGCGAGCCGCGCACCGGCGCCGGCGCTCGGGCTCCCCGCCTCGGCCTGGGGCGACACGCACGCACACTCACTCACCCATCTTTCCTCTTGGCTTTGTAGACGTGACCGTAAGTGCCTCGGCCAACTTTGCAGCCCTCGTATTCAAACAGGTCCTCGACCCGCTCCCGCTCGCTGCTCAGCTTCACTTTAAAGTCATAGTCCATTGTCACAGCCTCGGAGGCCGGGGAGCGGGGCCGGGGGGCCAGGGGAGCAGGGGTGGGGACCGGGGAGGCACGGGCAGCCGCAGCCCCCGGGAACCCGCCCGCTCTACACCCGGCGGCGGCGGCACCAGCCCGACGGATGCAGCAGGAGGAGGCCCCGCGACAGCCCCGGGGACATCCAGGGGAACAGCGGGGCCGAAGCCGGCCGAGGTGGGGACCGGGAGGCCTCCCCGGCAGAGGAGAGAGGAGGGACGAGACTGGGGGAGGGGTGGGGAGCGGGTGTCGCTGCCCTTGTCCCCGCGGCTCCCTGGGTGCCGGTCTCCCTCCTCTCCAGCTGCGGAGGGAGCGCGGGGCTGCCGCGGCGGGCGCCTCTCTCCTGCTCGCACACACGCACTCACTCCTCGCACCCGCTCTCACACGCACACTCACACTCACTCACTCACTCACTCTCCATACACTCACACAGAAAGGCAGCGGCCGTACAACAGCCGGTACCTCCTCAGAGAGAGGAGGAGGGAGGGGACTCGCGGAACACGGCCCGGTTGTCGCAAAAACGTCGCGAAGGCTGAGGCTTCTTCGGGCCCTCCCACCACCCGCTCCTGCGGCGGCTGGCCGCCCCTCCAGTCGCCCGATGCTGAAGGACCGCGGGGAGAGAGCAAGGGAGCGACAGCCCAGAGCTGCAGCCAAGTACACCACGTGGGCCGTCCCGAATGCTGGCCTGAGCCCCAGACTACAATGCCCAGAATGCACCGGCGCCACTGTCACCGCCCCTTCCAGGACTCCACCCCACGCAGGGGTGATCTGGGGCAGTGGTGCATGATGGGATCGGTAGTCCATAATGACATGCGTTTCAATTACTTCTTGTTGGGTTCTGTCCAGTTGATTTCGACCCACAGAGTACATAGGGTTGTCTAGACTGTACTCTTTACGTTAGCAGATTTCCAGTCTTTCTCGCACAGAGCGACTGAGTGGGTTCGAACCACCAACCTTTCTGTTACCAAACAAGTGCTTAAGCATTACATCACCAGAGCTCCTTTACAATTACTTAGAGAATACTTTTATTTTGTTTATTTATTTATTTGAGGAACACCTTTTTTATTTTTCAATTTCTTTAGAGCCTACTTTGTCCATAAATTTGGCCAAGGAAAGTCACATGTGAGGGAGCCTGGTTCGTATTAGAATTCACGTTTGGTGCAAGTTGGCGATGACTCTCCCATAAGTTCTGCACGGTGATGTTGGCATAATGACACACGTTACAGACATCATGGAAAGTCAGTCAGTGACGAATGTCATGCTACTTCCAAATACTGTTACTTTTTTGATAGATGCCCATCCAAATGTTTCCTGTCCATTGAGAAGGAAGGTTAGGTTGGGTATGACCTTCCGTAGCACTGTGTATGGGACCACCAATTTTTAGCTGTAAGATTTAGTAATGGAACTAAACCAATTTACTGATAATATTGTTGCTGTTGCTGTTGCTGTTGCTGTTGCTGTTATGTGCCTTGGAGTCAAACCCAACTCATAGCGACCCCTCCTTGGGTTTCCAAGGCAGCATCACTACGGAAGTAGATTGCCCCATCTTCCTTCTGAGGAGTGGCTGGTGCTGATAATGTTAAGGTTGAAAAATCAAAAAAGGTGTCTGCTGGAGGAGTCCCAATATCTTGGCAATAATCTTTCATTTTGCCTTATCTCTTTTATCTGCACATCTAATTTCCAGCTTTACTTTCCATGCATTACCCAATCCACTCATGCACCCCACTGTCCAAACAGAATATGATCCCTCCCACTTTTAAATCCTCCATGACACATTTCTTTTTTTTGCCTGCCATATTGTACTCATCAAATTCTATTTTGTCTTTTCTTTCTCTCCCTTGATAGGTTATAAATTCCTGTAGGGAGTCATAGGAGCTCTGGTGCTGTAGTGCCTAAGGCATTTGACTGCTAACCAGAAGGCTGGTGGTTCAAACCCACCAGCCACTCCTCAGAAGGAAGGTTGGGCAATCTACTTCTGTAGTTATACCACCTCAGAAACCCAAGGAGGGGTCGCTATAACTCAGACCCAACATGCCAGCAGTGAGTTTGATTTTTTTTTTTTTTGCTTTGTAGGGAGTCATATTTGTATCTTCCATGACACCCAGCATCATGCCTTGATTATGGTACACAGTAAACATTTGTTGAACTGATGAATGAATAATGTGTTTATGTCAAAAACACCCACGCACAAATGATAGGGCCATTTTGTGAAAATCCTCAAAACAGCCTTTCTCTTTTATAAATTTACTTGGAGAAAATAGTGGATTTCACCACTGGTTTAAATCAAGTTGTTTTCACTTACCCACCCCACTGCCATCGAGTTGATTCCAACTCAGTGACCCTTCAAGGCAGAGTAGAACTGTCCCATAGGGTTTCCAAGGCTGTATATATTTACAGAAGCAGACCTTCTCCCATGGAGCAATTGATGGATTCGAACCATTGACCTATTGGTTAGCAGATGACTGCTTTAACCACTGTGCTACCAGAGCGCCATTGTTTTTACTTAGTGCATAAATACTGGACAACTGGACCAATAAGGAGTATCAGGATAATTGGAGAAAAGATTGACACTGTCAAAGATTTCATATTGCTTGTTTCTACAATCAACACCAATGGAAGCAGCAGTCAGGAAATCAGACGATGTATTGCATTGGAGAAATCTGTTCCAAAAGACTTTTTTAAAGTGCTGAAGAGCAAAGATGTCTCTTTGGAGACTAAGGTGCACCTACCCAAGCCATGGTATTTTCAACTGTCTCATGTGCATGTGAAAGCTGGACAATGAATAAGGAAGATCAAAGAAGAGTTGATGCTTTTGAGTTGCAGTGTTGGCAAAGAATATTCAAAATACCACAGACTGCCAGAAGAACCAATAAATCTGTCCTGGAAGAAGTGCAGCCGGAATGCTCCTTGGAAGCGAGAATGGCCAGACTTCGTCTCAGCTACTTTGGTCATGTTGTCAGAAGGGGCCATTCCCTGGAGAGGGACATCATGCTTGATAAGGTGGAGGGTCAGCAAAAAAGGGAAGGCCCTCAACGAGATGGATTGACACAGTGGCTGCAATGATGGGCTCAGGTGTAGCAAGGATTGTGAGGCTGGCACAGGACCAGGCAGTGGTTCATTCTGTTGTACATAAGGTCCCTATGAGTTGGCACTAACTTGATAGCACCTAACAACAACAACAACATAAATATTGAATTAAATATCCTGCTTTGCCTTGTATCAGCAATATGCCCTTCAACTAACTCTGAGCTTCAGTTTCTGTTTCTTTGCAAAATGGAAGTATGAAAGGCCCAACTTACAGTAAATACCCAATGAATACAAGCTTTTGTGAATAAGATGTTACATGTGTCTGATCAGTCATGTAATCTGGGTAACTTTCTAACAGGACTGTCTCTAACCTTTGTGTAGTGAAAGAATCCATTTTTTTCCCCCTAAGTATGGAGTTAGACTAGACTCTTCCTGAAATTTTATTTTGTGCTTTTTTGAGGGGTGTGTCTTTTTGTCCAAGTCTTCCCTGACAGATCTTGAGAAACAACGAAACCACCACACTGGAACTGCAGTGGGAACTCGGCCTGGCCCCCCACTGGATGCACCCCACCACCGCCACCACAGCCACCACCGCCACCCCCACCTGATAATCCTGAACACTGGCTGACTGTTCCTCTGTCTGGCTTCCTGGCTCTCGTTCTGCTGTGCATGGGGTCGCTATGAGTCGGAAACGACTCGACGGCACTTAACAACAACAACAACATCTCTTAAAGTGCCTGGCAAATCTTGCTTAATTCTATTTAATAAGAATGTGTTTAATTTGATTCATTTCTCTAAAGGTTGAAATAGACCTGAAGAAGAAGAATCAATTGGAATAGGCAATATTTCAAAGCCATTAACACCTTCTGTCAGTCTCCCCTTTGAAGGTATACTTTTTGCAGCACATGAAAGAACTTACTGCTTTGTGACATATTAATAAAAGAAGCCCAAGTGGGCCTTCTGATTGGTCATTTCCAGCCTCTATAGCTTTTAATTCATTTCTCATGCTCCGAATCAAAAAACATACTTTAAATGGGAAGTGTCTATCTTTCCATTCTTCAGATGGAATTTTCACGAAAAAGCACATTTTAAGAATCTACTTTTGAACAAGGTGATAGACACAAAAGAAAGTAAATTAGATCCGTCAAAACCCACTAATGTTTTGTCTGTCTGTTTTTTAATTTTTCAAAGACAGGATCAACTCAAAAGGTTTGTCCACTAACTCTAAGCACCTGGGACATAATTTAGACCTTGGGAACCACCAGAACCAAAAACATGACCAGAACATTCGCGTCGACCCTCCCTCATGAGACCATCATTGGCTCTTGCAGACTTATTTCCTCCACATGACTAGAAACATGACCACTGACAGTGGCTGAATTTTATATCAGGCAATGTCTATATGTTATATCAGTTGAATGTCATGCGAGAGGCATTGACTCCATTTCTCAATTCTAGTTCTAAAAATCCCAGGAAAGGCTACTGTTTAGCCAGGACTAGGGCCCATCCTAGACCAATGAAGTGCAGCCACAGGGGCAGGATCATGTAAAAACATGATGGCTCCTTCATTGGGAGGGGAGCTCTGGTAGCATAGTACCTAAGGTACATGACTGCTAACCAGAAGGCTGGCGGTTCAAACCCACCAGCCACTCCTCAGAAGGAAGGTTGGGCAATCTACTTCTGTAGTGATACTGCCTCAGAAACCCAAGGAGAGGTTGCTATGAGTCAGAGATGACTCAACAGCACTTAACAACAATAACAACAATCATTGTAATATCTAAGTTTTGTTGTTTTTTTCTTTTTCTTTTTTTTTTTTTCCGTTTGGCCCTTAAGAACTGTTTTTTCCTCTTAGTTGTGATAGCCAAAGGAGTTCTGGTGGCACAGTGCCTAAAGCATCTGACTGTTAACCAGAAGGCTGGAGGTTCAAACCTACCTGCCACTCC